GTATTGTTAGGGTCGAACTACGTATTTTCATTAACAAATGATGTTTTGAGAGAGAGAGAGAGGGAGAAAAAACTCTCTTATATAATGACTTCACAAAACTTGTGCATGAAGGTGTCTTTAGACTTGAAACTTCACATGGTGAAAATGTCTCATATGTTGACCAAAATGGCATGCTGGACAAGTTTTGAACCAGTGACCCCAAATGGCTAATTGGAACAGTCCATGTACTTGTTTTCATATCATTATGTGTTTATATATGAGCAAGTCATGTGTCTTTGATCCAGAATTTTCATGAATGCTTGACGTAGCTAGCCAAGTCAACCTAAAGACGGAGCCATCCCTAACTTTTACACGTATCTGTACAATACAATTAAAAGTTTAGTAGCTTAACCTATCATTTCACTTCACATGGACCACCGTACATTACCTTTGGGGCAAATTCGCAGTGCTTGCACTCACTCGTATAGCCCCTATTTGTTATAGTGAGTTTTTTAAAGATTGAGTGGTTAAAAAGTAGGAAAAAATTTTAGAATTACTTGAAAAAATATTTTATTATTAAAATGTGAGGTTGAAAATGAGTTTAAAAGAAAAAGAGGCTCATTCAGGGGCATAATAAACTTTGCTCATTGAATCCAAGATTTCAACAATTGGATCCAAGGTTCTATTATTGGTGATAAAAAAATGGCTTACATCACTCGAAAACAAAGTCTTTTATTCTTATAATTTTATAGTGGAGATCATCCCTTTTGACCTATATATTACATTTCAAGACAAGATAATGCTTTTGGTCAATTTCTCATGATATATCTCATTAAATAATTGAAAGTAATGAAACAGAAGGGCATAACAAATTGGGGTCCACACCAAAAGAGAGGAGCCAGGTCCATATCAAAAGGTGCCATTAAGGTCCACTTCTGGTGTAATTGGTAGGTTCCGTTTCTGAAATGAAGTTGATTTTTTAGAAGATAATGTAGTTTTGATAAAATTGATGGTGCAACCACTTCGGCTAACAGCATTTGTCAGCATCAATTAACAGATATGTCTAGTGAAGTGGAAGCCAAGAAAACACTCCCATGATTTTCAAATTTCATTAGTTATTTCAACTCACTCACCAAAACCTCCCACCCTACTATTAATTAATTACAAAACATCTGCTATACAAATTAGTATATATATAACTAGAGTGCTTTTGTATCGTCGATAAATTCATATTCTTGTGCGTGGCATTATTAGCATATATTAATTAATTAAACTTAGTTTTTTTCCAAATTGAGAGGGAAAAATGGAAAGAGGAGAAGAAGGTGGGTTGGTGGTGCGGGGGAGAGTGGAGATCGATATGCGACAGCCTTTCCGATCAGTGAAAGAAGCAGTTTTGCTGTTTGGGGAAAAGGTTCTTGCTGGAGAAGTCTATGCATTGTTTGAGTTTCTCCAGAGAGAGAGCCTCTCTCTCTCTCTCTCTCTATGGGTTTTTTCTCAAACAAATATTGTAGTATTTTATAGTGATTTTGCATGCATGTTATAGTACAAATTAAGTTGTTATAAACTCCTTTTGAACAAAAATTATACTAAGTGTACATTTAGGATCTGTAGCAATTAAAATTGAAAATATAGTCGTTATTGGGTCTCACTCGTCTAATAAAAGTCAACAAATTTTTCAATTTTAATCCGATTTTAATCTCTACCAAACACATTCTTAATGGATAACATCTCGGTGCAAATTCAAAAACTGTTGGGCGGGAAAGTGTGTTGTTTTTAAAAAGTTCAATCATGTACCGACACGTGATACAATGTAAAAAATGATGTAAAACAAAATATACATGTAGCATGATTGTTTGAACAGATATAACACATGTTTGATGGCCATTATTTGGTTAAAATAATATTTTGAACAGTAATTTTTAGAAGAATATGAGGTAAAAAAATAGAGAAAAAATTTGGGTTTGCATGCAAAATATATTTTTCTTTCCTGTGCGAAAATATGGTTGAAAATGAACCTGTGTTTGGTCCCCATTTTTTCAAAAGTCATTTTAAACTGTACTTTATTGTATAAAATAATTTTACATATAAATCGAAAGTTTTTCCTTTGTTTGTAATCACACATTCTCTAAAAAATCGTTATTCTAAAATACATTTTCTTATCAAAATGGGCTCAAACAGGGGTTGAGTATATAAAAAAAAGAAGAGTTTTTTTTAGTTTTTTCTATAGTTGTTTGAAGATGAAACGAGTTTAATTGAATATCGCAATAGCAAAAGGTACAAGGAGAATAGACCTCCAACACAATGCCCTCCGAAGCGGGATTAAGTGCTACCAAGGCGAGAGACCAAGCTATTACAATGGCCATCACGACCAGCCGACAAAGAAGACGAGCACCAAACAAACAGAAAAAACTATACAAAACACCACCACCCAAACNCGGTGATTGAAAATCCAAATAATACTGGAGGAAGCACCGTACAACCACCACAGCCCAACCAACGAAGAAAAATACCACCAATTGAACCACACACGAACACCACCAACCCACCAAACCACCATCAAAACTAAAAACGAAATCCTAAAACCCCCCAACCTATACAACCCGGTTCCAGAAGGAACCCAAAATGGGAACTTAGCCAAATCCAAACAAAGATCACACCCAAACAGCCAAGGGATCCCAAGCCCACAACCACGACAGACAAGCAATCAAACTGGCTCGCAGGGCTGCCCACCAGCCACTGCCAAACCAAAATCATCCTTCTCACCCAGCACCCTTCTAACACGTTTAGGGGACGAACCCTCTGCATCAACATCCTCCTGACCTGTAGTGCTCAATGCTATGGGCTCAAAACCATCCACCTCCATTAATTGGGGCCTTGCCAAAATTGGGCTTGATCGGGCCCTTTTTTTTCCAATTTGTACCATGGCCCAGGTCCAGTAGAACATTCCCACGTGGGCGATCTGCCCCACAATTATCCAGTTCCTGAACTTCTGCACTGAGATCATTCCCGATAGCCTCCACCACCAGCTCCCCCTGATTGCAACTGAAATCCTTCTGCTGATAATCAGGGACCTGATTATGCACCAAACTCTCCTCCAGGCCGTGAGATGTTTAGACGGCTTTCGGCAAGAAGAAGATGGGAAATGCAACTGGGTTTGGTCAGCCCCTTCCGATGACGATAGTCCTGCAAATTTCTTCCTTGACGCCCGCAACCATGGACCATATTGCTGTTCAAGCCCATCCCCAATGGCTGATCCATTTTCTTTCTGAGAACATCGACCGGATGGATGGAACACCAGACCACAATGATAGCAAAAATTAGGCAACCTTTCATACTTAAATGGTACCCAATACTGGGTCCTGCCTATGTTAATCAAACAGCCCCTCAACAATGGTTTCAAAATGTCAATTAGAACCTTAACACGCAGAAATGCACCAAAGTAAAACCCAGTACTATCCGTGTCGACAACAAGAACCTTCCCCAGACGCTCACCTATGGCCTGTCCCGTATTTTGGGTCATCCCTGCAAAAGGGAGGTCGTGATACTGGACCCAGAAGACCTCTTCAGTAAACCCTATCTCCTTAATGGTGTTAACCCTTTCACAATCATGGAGACAAAGCAAAATTTTATCAAAGGACCACGGTCTTCCCGACAAAATACGCTTCTTGTCCGAAACCCTAATCAACTCCAACAGAAACGTATTTCGCCCAATCTCCTTAATAACCGCCTTACCTTCGAGTTGCCAAATCTGGAGCATAGTAGTCTTCAACGCCCCTTTGTTCACCTCCGGTTCAGCGAGCACCCTGAAAGCAAGACATTTTGCTCGTTTTTCCACTAATAAACCGTCCACAGCTTCGACAACCTCCAACACCTGAGCTTCCTTCTCTGTGAGCCTAAGTCTAGTGAACAAACTAGACAAATCCCTCGCCATCCCCACGCCTCTACGGATACAATCCAAGAGGGAAGAGAGCTAAGATCAGACGACTTAGAGGGAGAAACCTCACCTTGAAGACAAGGAATAGCCCCTAATTTAAACCCTATATCTTACCATTAGCATTGACTTGTTTAAGTTGCTCATCATAAGCAATTCAAACATTTACTTCAAATTAAGTGTCACGACGTACAGGGGCGGACTCGGGGAGATCCTGGGGTTACGTGCCCCCAACTTTTGAATTTTTTTTATAAACTCATATTTGATATTGATTGAAATCTAAATTTTAATTGAAATCAAAATTAACAATTAATTTTAATAACATATTTCGTGTGTAATCCATAACTATTTAATTTATATCAAAATTTATTAAAAATTTGATTTTAATCTCCATCAAACAGGGCAAAATCACAATAAATTTGAATTTTTCTCTTTTTCTCTTGCTTTTTAACAAAATCTTAACTCTCTATCAAATAGGGGCTAAATATTGCATTCTTAATAATATTTCGAAGTGTTTACGGTCTAGTTTTTTACGTCGTTAATGGTGTACGAAACGATCAATCATAGCAAATGTTACGACTTGTTAAAGTAAGTCGTTTAAAATTAGTATTTCGAAAATTTCGATAACATGCTAACTTTAAAAATTTTACGACGATCGTACGCTAATCGAATCAACAAATTGCTTATGTCATCTCAAAACTTATTTCGAGAACTACATTATAGGCATATCGAATAATCCAAATAGATATCGAAAATAGTTAAAAATACGTTAAACGTGAGTTTTAAAAAAAGTGGTCTAACTCGCATTTTTTTAAAAATTCAATTATTTCTTTAACATTTATTATTTCTTTAAAAAATTTCTCAATGTACNAAACTCAAAGAGGTCTCTCTCTCTCTCTCCCTCTCTATGGGTTTTTTCTGAAACAAATATTGTAGTATTTTATAGTGATTTTGCATGCATGTTATGGTACAAATTAAGTTGTTATAAACTCCTTTTGAACAAAAATTATACTAAGTGTACATTTAGGATTTGTAGCAATTAAAATTGAAAATATAGTCGTTATTGGGTCTCACTCATCTTTTAATCTCTACCAAACACATTCTTAATGGATAACATCTTGGTGTACATTATGTGCAAATTCAAAAACTGTTGGGCGGGAAACTGTGTTGTTTTTAAAAAGTTCAATCATGTACCGACACGTGACACAATGTAAAAAATAATGTAAAACAAAATATACATGTAGCATGATTGTTTGAACAGATATAACACATGTTTGATGGCCATTATTTGGTTAAAATAATATTTTGAACAGTAATTTTTAGTAGAATATGATGTTAAAAAATAGAGAAAAAATTTGGGTTTGCATGCAAAATATATATATATATATTTTTCTGTGCGAAAGTGTGGTTGAAAATGAACCTGTGTTTGGTCCCCATTTTTTCAAAAGTCATTTTAAACCATACTTTATTGTATAAAATAATTTTACATATCAATCGAAAGTTTTTCCTTTGTTTGTAATCACACATTCTCCAAAAAATCATTATTCTAAAATTTGATTTTAATCTCCATCAAATAGGGTAAAATCACAATAAATTTGAATTTTTCTCTTTTTTTCTTGCTTTTTAACAAAATCTTAACTCTCCATCAAATAGGGGCAAAATATTGCATTCTTAATAATATTTCGAAGTGTTTACGGTCTAATTTTTTACGTCGTTAATGATGTACAAAACGATCAATCATAGCAAATGCTACGACTTGTCAAAGCAAGTCGTTTAAAATTAGTATTTCAAAAATTTCGATAACATGCTAACTTTAAAAATTCTACGACGATCGTACGCTAATCGAATCTACAAATTGTTTATGTCATCTCAAAACTTATTTCGAGAACTATAATATGGGCATATCGAATAATCCAAACATATATCAAAAATAGTTAAAAATACGTTAAACCTGAATTTTAAAGAAAGACGTCTAATTCGCATTTTCTTTAAAAAAAATTCAATTATTTCATTAACATTTATTATATTTGCAATATAAATTTTTTAATATAATTTTCATCATTTTATTAGGAAATTTTATATGGAATATGACATAAAAATTTTTCGAAATTTTACATCTGAAAAATTCATATCCCATATAAATTTTCGGATACAAAATAGGTGTATGATTTTTTTGGACGTAAATTTTTTATTGTAAAATTTCTCTCAACTTTTTTGCAAGTTCGATTGTGCCCCCTAACTTTAAACTTCTACGTCCGCTCCGACGACGTACTACTTGTGGAACCTCAATATCAACAGGCTTATTAACTAAATGGCAATTGACACGTGTAGACATGTCAAAATTAATACCGATAGGCCTATCATTATTTTTCTGCTAAATGTGTCGAAATTTGAACAAGTTGATATTCAACACTTGAAGTAGACATTTTATTTCAGATAGAAAACAAAGAGAAGAATTGGAAATACACATCAAAAACTGGAGCAGCTGATCACCATGTTGAGCCAACAAAGCAGAAAAGTGCTGAAAAACCAAACGAAGACAGTAATAATCTGATGGTTCAGTGCCTTAACTCTCTGAGGCAAGAGCTCGAACAGACAAAAATGGAGCTACGGCAATTGAAATCCAGAGAATCCCACATCGAAAACCACAAGCAATTGGTAATTGAACCAGAAATTGAAGAGCTAAAGTTTATCGAAAACTGTAGTACAACTAATGTTAAATCTGAAATCAAGAAGCAAACTGGAGAAGAAAATGACTTGGAATTTGAGAAGAAGAGATCTGTGAAGTTCGCAAGTCCTCCATTGTTAACCCGAGTCATCATAAGCAAAGATGATAGGGATAAAGTCGGAGAGCAAACGCCTTCACCAAAAAAGAAACCAAAGAAGAAGCCATTAGTATCAATCGTGGGAGGTTTATTTTTGAAAAAGGGAAGAAAGCAAATATGAAAAGGCAATACGAGATATAGCATTGGTTCTTTTTGATATTTTAGTTTCTCAGTTTTGTATTTTCACAGAGGTGAGTGAGGCAGCTCCCTCCTAAAATTGTATTTTTGTTATAATTTACGGTGTTAATAAATACTTTACCAATGTGGTGGTTTGATTTTTTCAACCAAATATGTGAATTCGAAGTCCTTCGAAAATTCTCTTCTTATGTCCTCTCCCCGCCCCCCGCTCTCTCCTCTCTCTCTCCACACTTGCATATCATGTCACAGCTTTATGCTCAACATGAATTTTGGTACTTGAGTAGAGAATTGAAAACTATTAAGCATAGCGTTTTATCAATTTTATCTTGCGAAAAATGTGAAGAGAATAAGCTGAAATTTAAGGAACTATGTAACATGGCTGAAATATGCAAACGAAATTAAAGATTAGTGATGAATTTGCTAGAGGCTTTAAAGGGTAAATATCTCTGCATATACTCACATATAGATTTTTTTGAAATATTAATCCACTTGAAGTGGTATGTTTTATTAATCAATAATGCTAAGGATACATTCTTTGATGTATACTTTTTTTTGACATCACCCACGTTTTCAACAAATTGTAGATGGGAATTTTTTTAAAAAAAAAAAAAAAACTATGCAATCATGTGCTATCACTTGATACAATTTAAACAATGATATAAAAGATAATGTACATGTAGCATGATTGTTTAATAATAATGAACAAACATGGTACACAATATTTGGTATTAATGATGGAAACTACAATATTACACCACAGTTTTTTTTTTGGCACAATATTTTAGTTGTCATGAAGATTCTCAATATTTGATCTTTGTTGCACTTATATTTCCAATTTTTTTCGATACATTCTTATTCTCAATCTTTACTTAATTCGCAGATATTGTCCCTGATGACGATTTCTGTTTGCATGCTTGAAAACGAGGAGCAAATATTTTGTTAAACTTTTATATTTGTAGTTTTAATTTTGCTTATTTACAATATTAGGGGCATATAAATCTTTTTATGTTTTTTTAATGAATTTTTTAGGAAACCGTTATCAAGACATGATTTGCTAATTAATAGAAGGACGTTGATAATAAGAATATAATGAAAAAGTTAAAAATATAAGGGGGAGAACGAACAATAATTTTGGACCTTTACAAATAACTTTGAGCGTGTTCGGTTGTTCTTAAAATTCAATTAAAATTGA